AGGATCTTTTTATCTGATTGTGGATGCCCACTCTCTTTATCCTCAGGCCACACAATACTTTTTCCATATTGATCGATTGCTCTACTTATATTATTCCTCTGTCTTTCTCTCCTGACTTCCTAGCCAAAAAACAATTCCTTCCCAAAAAGCAAAGTATAACTAATTATAAAGCTCTCAATTATAACAAATAAATAAATGTAAAATAAACAACATAAGTTAAGTCAAGTTAAACATAACAGTATATTTTCGTTTACACCTCTAAGTTAAGGATAAGCGAAAAATTAAATGATCATTAACCTCGTAGCTTCTCTTATTTGGCAAAAATAAAGTAATGTTATGTAGACTAATTTTTTTAGACCACATTTGCAAACTATGTGCTGTGTTATATAAAATAAATAAATAAATAAGTACGTTAATTAACACTTACGTAATAATTCAATCTTTAACAAGTACGTTATTTATTTACAAGATTTAAATAGATAGCCTCTTTAGTATTACCTACAAAACTAAGAAACAAATAAGCAAAAGAGGGAGGACGAGCTATATATAAGCAATTAGGTCTTTTATGCAAAGGAATCCCCATTTTTTCAAAAAATGAGGATTAGGTATAGGACCCATTTCATATCAAACTTCAACGATCCGAACTGTTTATTTTGTAAGTCTCGATTCAGAGATCATCCTTGCAAAAGTTGAATTCAGTCCGAAACCAATTGCCAATTTAATTATCAAGATAAAATATCATTATTTCTTATATAACAAAGTATTCGTTAATTTTTTTGAACCAAATTAGATGTCTTAAATATTTCCGATTTGGCTAATATTTTGTAAGGATGATCTATGAGGTGTAACTTGAAAAATAGACAGTTCAGATCGTTAAAGTTCGTTGTAGTGTAAACCCCACAACTAATTTCTATTTTTATGAAAAATGGGAATCCCTTCTCTTAAAGGCTACCCATAAGCAATAGTATTATGTAAAAGTGCATTGGGAATCAATTGATATTTCATAAAATAATACTAGCTACACTAATTTTTTAGATTAAATTTGTAAACTATGTGATGTATCACTAATAGAAAATAAACATGTTAATCAACACTAATTCATAATCTAAGAGAAATGTTAATGAAACTCTCTCAAAAGTGGAATCATTATGAACTTTCTAACACCTCATGTTTTTGGCATAATATTTTATAATATTAACATAAAAATTAATGTTAAACTACAAGTTAGTCGAGAGTTTATAAATAGAGGAAATTATAACAATAGTCCATCAACTGAAAATATATAACCAATTGTCTCTTAACTTCTTAAAACGTGCAACTATAGTCATTTTCGTCAACTTCATCATAAATTTCGGCAAAATGAGTCGCGTTGGAAGAATCATTGTTACATTTGGGTTAAAGTTGAAGAATCATTGTTTCAATTAGGTTAAAGTTGATGGATTATTTCTCTAATTGGGTTAGAGTTGAAGGATTATTTGTACAATTTTTTCATTCAGTTTTCCATATTTGTCTATTGATTCCGACCTCACGTGCGTGGCATGTGACTCGTTTTGACAAAAGTCTTAACAGAGTTTACGAAAATGATCATAACTACACATTTTGATAAGTTAAAAGACTAATGATCATAAATTTTTAATTAAAAAACTATTATTCTAATTGATTTAAAATTTAAAGATCATTACAATAATTTTCTCATATAAATAATTGAGAGAATCTCGTTAACATTTCTCATAATTCATATGTTGGAGGGAAAAGTGTCAACTATCATCGTGCAATGACTTGCGTGATGGCCCAATACACAGCTGCGTCTGCTGTCCAGTAGCCCATCGTCACTTTTTCGAAGATATGACCGTGTCACGTGGCTAGCCTTGAGTGCCGAGTCCAAATTATCTTTATATTTTATCATATTTTCAGAAATAAAATAAAAATGGTTAGGGTTTTAGGCTTTTAGCAGCGGGACGGGGACGTGTTTAGGAGATCCAGAAAGAAACATTGGCCAAAAGCCTGGAATCACAATGAGGTATGTTTTGGATCTAGCAAGGTCTCTGTCACGTCCTTCGATCTCTTAAATAAAGAAGAATACCAAAACCTTAAATATCACATTGAAATAAAATAAAAAATTTATCTATTGAGTAAAATGATGAGCATTACTAATTTAAGTTAATGATTAAAAATATTACTTTTTTCTTTTTGCTTTTTGTATTTGTGCAGGTTAAATAAACCTAAAAACGGCATAACATCGTGGTTGGGGTAATATACTAAGTGAGCTTTTATTGGATACATATTGCAATTGAAATCGTTGGTTTTCTTAGTTATATTTAAATAAATAATCCAATTCCACTATCAGTGCATGATCTTGTTTTCTGAAAAATGATTTTTCAATTCTAGGTTTTTACCTCTGTACTCATTCATTTGTTTTTACCCCTTAATTCTCATTCAAACTATCGAACTAACGTTTAGGGAACAAAAAAAAAAAAAAAAAAAAAAAAAAAAAAAAAAAAAAAAAAGATAAGTAATTTTTAACCACATGAATGAAATTAGGAAAAAAAAAATATATATATATATAGCAATATAATTAATTGGAGAACAATTGAAGGAATTTTTGTTTATTTTTTTTTTTGCTATTGTTATGGAAAATTTTAATCAAACAAGAGTGATAGGGCTTTAAAATTTGTATGAAAAATGAGATGATTATATCATGAGAACAGAGCTTGTTTATGTGCTTTGATAAAAAAAATTAAAAAATTTAAAAAAAAAAACAGGGAAAAGAAAAAGATTAATACATTGGATTTGAACAAAATTTAAGATCATAGCTAGCTCAAAAATATTTCCATGACATTTTTCTTTCAACGTAATTGAATCTTTCTCTACATTGTATAGACCTTGGTATGAACTAACCAAAAAAAAAGGAATTGGCTTATATGACACAAAAAAAAAAAAACCAAAATATTGTTGGGATAAGCAAGTCTCAAACTTGTGACCTACGAAAATCTGTAAACTATTTCAAGTTCAACCACTAGACTATATACTTTTTACTGCAAAAACTAGCACACAATCTAAATAAATGGATGAAATTCTAAATTCATCTAAACTACAAAGAGACAAAAATTTTGAATCTTGGATATTAAGATGAAAGGGAATGTCAATTCCCCTCCAATAGAGAATCGAGTAAATGGGCCACAAACCCATTAAAACAGAGCAAGCGAGAAAAGGAAGGCCGACTTCACCTGTGCGTATGGCTGAAGCGCGAAAAAGCAAGCGGAAAATGGGAAACCGCAGAGGAAAGCTGATTCCAAGAAAATAGCATCCAAGTGACTTCCAATCAAAACCAAAACCAAATCTTCAGATAGCTCCTCTCAAAGATACCAATCTCTTTACTGTACGAATCCCATTTCACTATCTAAAAAATTTAATACATTTGATTGGATTGTGTAGAATCATCTAATTTGATTCGTTAAGAAACGCCGGTATCACTTGTTCTTGGAGAAATGTTTCTATGATTATCGAAAAGAAAGATTTTTTGTTGCCCTATGCAAATTGAGTTAGTAGCTTTAGGAGACCAGCTTGAGTGAGCAGCTTTCACGATGGCTGCTGGTCCGGCTACCAGTGGGGAAGACATTGAGGTTCCAGAGTGTACATGGTATTGACATTCCTTGTGTCTTTGTTGTGAACTGAAGCTCTATTAACGGGTGATTAGGTACTGGTTTGGTACTGATATGTTTTTGTAAAAGGTTGGTATAAAAAAAAAAATTGAGCTCAAAAATGTGTTTAGTAAACACTTAAAAACAACTTATTTTCACAGTTTTGAATGAAAAAAAAGCTGAAAATGTGAAGTAGCAAAAATGAGCTTATTCTCACAGCACATCAAAAACAATTTTTTTTTTCAAAGCATAGCAATACCAAACCAACCCTAGGCCTCAAGGATGTTGACACCCAGCGCAATCAGATCAGGCTATTAATTTTATTCAAGAGCTCAAAAATGTGAGAGTAGATAGCAGAAAGATGTCCCTTAGTATTATGGTCTAGTGGTATTCTTCTTCACTGGTAAATGAGAGGTTTTAGGTTTGATTCTCGTCAAAGGTGAATTTGAACCACATTATTGCTAACTCATTGTGAGGCCAACCCCATCCTCTCTCCCTAAGTGTAGATAATATCGTTTTGTTCAAAATAAAAAGATATGTACAAAGAGAAGTTTATAGGGCAAACGAAGCAATCAAGTCGTACAAATTGCAATCTACCGTCAGAATATCAGGCACCATTAGATTAAAGGTCCTTTTTATATATGATCATCAAATTGGATAAGTCTAAGAGACAGAACAAACATCATTAAACATGAATATGTAGGAAAGAAAATAGGCGTTTGATTATCATTTTCTTACGTATAAATGTTTGTGCAGAAACCAACCGTATAAGAAAAATAAAATCTATTTAATTCTCAAGATAAGATCAAAGTAAATTGGCAATTTAAATTGGGAACAAATTGTAAAAATAAAAATCTTTGGGTAATCGCCCTCTCACTCTGATTATAGTTTACCACACGGTAATTCTGTCTCACTTCACCATCCTCAATCACCCCAAGATTTCCGAGTTTTACGATAGAAGCTGCAAACTCCTTAAAGAATGCACTTTGGCTTTTGACATTTGTTTCTTACCTTCTGAGCAAACACTTTGTTCATGGTTGGGTCGACACCATGAAGCGAACTAAAATTCCGAAGTCAGGATTCGAAGGAAGAACAATGTGAAAACCCTAGAGTGTGACCACCGGATAAAGCAACCAAATCTTCGTGGAAAGTTGGAGGTGGCAAGTTGATGGTCTCATTAGCTCTTGACACTCTTCCGTCTTTCCTCCCTTTTAGCACATTCCACTACGGACATCCGGACTGTCAAAAGTTGTTAAGAATGAATCTCACATTAATAAGAGAAAGAACTTTGCATGAGTTTATAATTAGTTAGGTTACTCCTTGAAAGCAGTAATAGTAATGCATGTAAGGCGAAGATTGTTTTCGGTGGAAATTAACACAACCATTACTCATACATTGAAAGCAAATAATATGGTGCTACAACCTGACGCTTTAAGCATATACATAAAATTATACATCTGGCTCAAAAATCATAGGAAATTATAAATTTCCTTCTGATCTTTTATTGTTTGACCTTATTAATATTATTAATCTAAGAGCACGGCCTACCAAAGACCGGTATCCATTGCATTTCTTGTTTATTTTAATTTTTATGGGATTGTCTTTAGAGATGATTGACAAGCATTATTATTTATCTGATGTATGTTGCTATAGACTGCGATGCGATCAACAGAGCGCATTATTGGCGGTCCAATGAACAATTCGGTCTCCACCTCAGAACTCATGATACTTTGTTTCCAGTAGTTTACAGAAGCAGAAGCTCCTGCTTTTTCACAGCTTACAGAAGCAGAACCTCTTTTTTCTTGAGCTGAATGCTCCATCAACAGCTTCGCACCACTCTGATCATATCATCATAGTGCAGATAGATAAATAAACAAGAAAAGAAAGAAAGACTAGAGAAATTCACAATGATAAGATTCTTATCATGATATAACATCACCTCAAACGTCATTCACAGTACGTAGTTGCTGGTAATTAAATAATGGCAAAAGAGTTCAACAGGACTTAACAAAGTTTACCTCTTCGCGTAATTTTGCGTTCTCTTGTAAGAGGAGCGTCTCCTGATTTTAGAGAGAAAGATGGTGTTAGAACTTGAAACTAGTGGAGCAGTTGATCTATATCTGTAAAAATTACAATTAATAGGTTTTGTAGCACTAAAATTTAAGGAGAAATCAGCCGCAATTGATCGTTTTACAAATCTCAATTGCTAAAATGGTTAATTTCAAGTATGCCATTGACATCTGACCATTATGTCGTAATTATTTTACCATTGTGTTGTCGATATTCGATTGATGTTGTCAATATTTGATTATGATCTATTTAGCAATTGAGATTTGATTTTATGATATTTTAGCAAAAAATAAAATAAATACCTTTGCCTTTAGATTTTCCATCTGCTCCATGAGTAATTGAGCCTGGAATCACTTCAAGTTAGTTAAATTCCAAGTAAAAGAAAAATCCATTTAACAGATACGTGTTGGAGGAAAATGGACTTGTGACCATCAGCTGAAATACATGTACTTATGTACCTCTCTCTCTCTTATGCTGCGTAAACTTCGTTCCAGCTGGCTACTGATCTCCTGGAGTTCTTCAACAACGCAAGAATCCAAATCATTTCCCAAAAGCTTCCTAAACACACAAATTTCAGAGTTTAGGAAAACCTGAAATATCAGTTGAGTGAAAAAGGGCAGGAGAAGATAATCGAACTAAGCCATAAACCGTTGAGAAGCTTCTAGGATCTCTATCTTCTTGGTCATAATAGCTGCTTCATGCTTCAAGTGCTGCATGCATGCAGATTAATTAGCTTTTGACAATTAAAAGTTGTCTCATATGGGGGTTAGGTTAACAAAAGATGAGTGCAGAAAGTTAAAAAGGAGTGCAGATATCACATCTCTGATAAAATTGTCGAAAAACAAACATCATATCATCAGCGGTTCTAACACATGATAACATAAAGAAGTCCCAACGAAAGAGTACAATCATTGCGAGATGTGATCTTTAATCTCTTTAGGTGTGAAAGGAGTTGCTAGAAGTTAACCTAGTCAACGAGTTGAAGCCCCCTACCTCTCCCCCACTTCTCTTTTCTTTCACCCATTTTCATTTGATGAGCATGTATCAAGTGTCAATGTAGTAAAATAGTGATTATAGACAAATTGGAGTAGGATTCTCTCCCCTTCAAACTCCCCTCCCCTCGAGTCGCATCTTATTTGTACGGTCACGATTTAGCCATGTCAACTTCTGGTGTTGACTTCTTTATAAAAAGTGAAAGAGAAAGAGGAAAATGGGAGAGGATTAGAGGGGAGTGTAATGAATTTGGAAGGGAGAGAATCCTACTCCGGAAAAATTCCAAAAAACTTGCCTGCAATTAATATCTTATATAATATATAGACACAATTGTATGCGTACGGTAATGATTTTCACATGGATAGAAGATAACTATAAAGCAAAGTTGGGTTTTTCAAATTTAGTTTAGATGAGTTTGATTCCTATGGTTTGGACAATGTAACATTATTTTTGGATTGGTGTGAGTTTGATAAATTTGAGTCCAATCTATTAATTATGAAACTCAAATGCGTTTTCTTTTCCCTCACTTCATTATTGGTTGTTCTTCTTTCTCTCTCTCAAAACGGTTGGCCCGCTATTAATATGAATCAAACTCATCAAAGCTATACAAGACACTTAACAATAGGACTCATCCTTGTTGAACTCACTTCCTATGCTTGTTTGCTTTTCATCTATTAGAATCCAACTCAAATTTGCTAGTTCACTGTAGAAGTGTGGAAGTCCTGACAATTAGTTCTTGATTTTATTCTATATATACATTGATAAGAAAGGTGCATAACAAAACCAAGTAGGAAGAACAAGAACCATCCCAGCAAGTGATCTCAAAAACACTTCCCAGGAATGTTATAGTGATTAGGCTACTAGACCCCTCACATAAAACACAATAATCCTCTTTCCTTTTCCATAAAGCACCGAGAAATGCCTCCCAGATCAAGTTATGTATGGTGAAAACGAGTTCACCATATAAAATGCAACTATGCAGGGAGTGGTGCTTATTAACCACCATGTACCTCTAGCACAACAGTAAAAACGAAACTTCAATGTCCGCTGATATGAAGAAAATCTAACAAAAACTTCGCAATTAATTTTTTACGTGCACACACATATATGCATATGTATATATCCCAAAAAGTAACAACTATACCTCCAGAAAGGCATGGAAGTTATCCAATCTCTCAACCCTTTACTTCCCTGGTGGAAGGCCCCGTTGCAAACTCCCACCAACCCACCGGAAGCAACTAAAATACTTGCAATTTGTTCAACATATGCCTAAATTTAACAGATTAATTTTACATTTTGTAACGAAAAAGAAATGTAATCTTTTCATATATACTTAACCAGATCACTTGAAAAGAAAGGATTGAGAGTAAAATGCCACAGTTCTCGTTCTTTATTAAATCATGTATAAACTGATCTTCTTTCCACCGAGATTTGATGTAAATTACTACCTTCTTCTCAATATATTAAAGGACGCTGAAACATTTTTTGTGATATAAAAGGCCAAGCACGACTCAAAACTTTAGGTTCGTAACTATAATTAAGCTTCTATCCTGAAATAAATCAAATCAGCTAAAAGAGGTCATAGCCATAAAGAGAAAGCTAAAAGTTGTTTCTTTCCCTAATATAGTTATATCAATAAGTCTACTCTCAATGCACTTGCATACTATCTTCCATCATTTTGAAGATTATGGCCGAAGACTAAATTCATCACACCAAGATTTTTAAGGTTTCATAACAAAATCTGAAATCTAAAAGATTGGATTTTCAAAATCCAAGATAGATCGCCTAACCTGCACCTGTTGTTCCACTTCAACCTTGTTGGTTTGCTCCTCTTTTGCATATTTATGGTATCGTGTTAGAGTCTCTTGCATGCTGAAGCATCCAGAAAAATAAAGGTCAAAAATTCAAATATGATGAAATCATAGAGTACTCCATATTAGTCCCAGTATCTCTTAACAATATGATACAGATGATGTTTTGCAGTGGTTCAAGTTTTCTGAAATCTCATTCAGTTTAGTGGACAAAATCTACATAAATTGTTGCAGAGGACAGAGAATGCACTATAGTTAACAAAAAAGCAAGTTAGCATTTAGACCTACACCTTGTAAATTGTAAAAGGAGTAAGCTACTATCAATGAAATTGTGTTGATCATATCACTGCAATCATTCACAAATTATAATTAAAATACAACTCCATTGTATGTGGATGAATTTTTAATGTTCGAATTGATTTCAGGTAAGTTTAATACAGCTTGGTTCCTCCCGTTTCAAACTCAAACCGGCTGCTGATGTCGCGTTTACGTTAAATATATGCTAATCGAAAGGAAACAGCTAGGATGGATGATAATTAGAGCTGGTGTGTTTAAGTAAAACTGGTCAGTGGAGTATAGGATATCTCTAGTGAACTTCATCTAAGTCAAAAAAGGAAAACAAAAGGCCACAAATATTTTCTAAAAGTTAAAACTTTGAGTACACAAATCTGTCTGTGAGGTAACTGAACAAATACATATTGTACTAATTACAAAGACATATCTGAATGTGGTTTGATTATAATCATAAATTTATAAGGGTAAACATCATGCGTAAGATGTATGGTACAAATTAAACATAAATATATATAGGTTGTCAAGTACTGATTATGACTAGAACTGACAGAAAGCTAGAAATCTGTATTGTATTTTTACATCATATATAGTACACCCTAGCATTAGCACCAGGCACCAAGCATCACAAGTACCCCATACCTTGTTGTTTCATCTAATGAAATTAAGCATATAGAACAAAAGAAGGATGGGGTTTCAAGAATTTATAGAAATTAAGCATATAGAACAAAAGAAGAAGGCGCAAAAACACCTTCCTCTTGACTCTATTTCAAATCCATACTAAGGTTTAATTGTATGAATAACAAGAGAGGAAGGCGGAGAGAGTTATTGATTTGGGGTTTAACATCGTTTATCTAACGAAAGATTCAAGAGACTGAAACTTGATTTGTTTTGTGTCAAAATTTTGTATTGATCAAATCGAAGGAGCCGCACTTCAAAACAACAACTCTCTCTGCGCATCAGATTGCCACTGATAAGTGATATCAGATGGTTTTCTCCCAAAAAAGGGGTTTAAAAGTAAACAACAAAAGGGTTTGAAAATAGAATCAAGAGGCAGGTTTATTTACCCGAAAGACAATAAGAACGGAGTGAAGAATCACGACTTTTATGACTCGTATACTAATTTGTTAACATACCATTACCATTAGTTATTTGCGCAAAGTTATGGAGGTCTCACGCCCTTCTTGTTTGTACATTTACAGGAGAGATTTTTCAACGTGACTGGCACACAAGGTGCTACATCATGTGTCATTATACAAATAGTGAGATATGTGTGTTAAAAAGTTAATAACTTAAAAAATAAAAGTTCCTACCATTTACATAAAAACACGTGGTGTACCACTCCTATTCCCGTCACAATAAAAAATTTCTCATTTACAGGGGGTTTCTCTCTTTCTTCTTTTCAATTTCCTTCCACTTTTTAATTCTTTCTCAGTTTTATCTAAATAAAATCCACGTCAATTAATGGCTATAAATGTAAAATGCTTGTCAAAATGTTTGTCCTTTTAATTATAACCTTACACACACACACACAGAGATTGTTGACTGGAAAAAAAAATACAAACTATAGATCAAGAAAGGCATGAGTTTTATTCAATTTCCCAACCCTTTAATTACTTGCCTGGTGGAAGGCGCGGATGCAAAGCCCAGGCCACTAAGCCACCGTAGTTCAGCAACTAAAAAACTTGCAATTTGTTCAATTTATGCCTGATTTTAACAGATTTTGACATTTCATAATGAAAAAGACATACCACCTTGTTCATATGTAGTTTTTGGAAACACAAGCAACTTGGTTCATAGACTAAAATGCTATAGTTCTCCTTCTTTATTAACTCGTACATAAATTAATTAATCTTATTTCTACCCTGCTTTGACGTCATTCACAACCCTTTCTCTATTTATTAAGGGATGCCAAATTACTTTTTGTGAATCTTAAAGGCCGACTAGGACTCAAAACTTTAGGTCTGTACTTCTAAAGCTTCTAGCCCGAAATAAATCATAGATACTTGGTTCTTTTTCATGTCACCCAACTGATATATAAACAACTAAAACCTATGTTTGGATGAGGAGATTTCAAAGTTCCATTGAACTTTATGCTCAATTATTTAAAATGCACAACAGAAAAACTACTTATAACTACACAAGCACTACAAAAGTAGTACTACTAAAATACTACAAATGCACTGCAAAGGCACCACATAAAGGATTTAAAACCTCTCTCATGTATTGCATCTGCTCATTTCCAAGTCCGTCTATCTAATTTTTGTAATCCATTCTTTATAAATGTAGTCTAAGTTCCATGAAACTTTAAAATCTCTTATCCCTAGTGCAAACATAGGGTAAAAGTTTGTGTTTTGATCTGTATAATTATATCAGTAAGTCTATTCTCTGGACTTTATGAATCAATGCGATGAAGTCGTACTATATATCTTCCATCTTGTTGAAGATTATGGGCGAAGACTAAATTCACCGCGTCAAGATATTGCAAGTTTTATAACAAAATCTGAAATCTAAAGATGGATTTTCAAATTCCAAGATAGAACTTCTAACCTGCACATATTGTTCCACTTCAACCTTGTTGGTTTGCCCTGATCCATTTTCATGTTTATGATATCGATTTATAGTCCGTTGCATGCTGAAGCATCCAGAAAACGAAAGGTCAAAATCAAATAACGATGAAATCAATTATACAGTGCTCCATCCATCCTAATGAATTAGCGTACCTAAATATCCATACAAATATCTATTAAAATGAATTAGTATACCGAAATATTTGAACGTAAATATGTTGTAATGAATTAGTGACATAAGAGAATATGCAAATACATAGTGTACCAAAAATGAAAAGTCCATATCTAATAATTTTGTTATGCAAGATGTCAACAAATAAATTGAAATTCATTTGAATTTCAATTGAGTATTAAATTTATGAAATACTTTTCATAAATATGAACTCATGGACATCATGAAAATATTTTTTTTTTTTTTTTTAAAAAGGACATTGAATACATAAGCTAACATTTAATAGAGTTTAGGGACTACAATCAATTTTTCATCATCTAGTTTCAATTTTTGTATCATCGTACACCCTAGCCTCAAGCTGGTACAACTATACCCATACCTTGTTACTTAACGCGCAAAGATTTTAATGATGTTTGTTTCTTTTTTTCTTTTTTTCTTTTTTCTTTTTTGAAATTAAGCATATGGAACAAAAGAAAAGATGGGGATTCAAGAATTTAAATATAAGGTATTTAATGAAAGAAACGTACTCAGAGCTGGCGAACTCATAGATCTTGGCTTTTTGCGAGAAGATGATGACTGCAACTTCAGCATCGCAAAGAACCGAAAGCTCATAAGCTTTCTTTAACAACCCCTTTCGACGTTTCGAGAAGGTCACTTGCCGGCTTGAGTTATTCTCAATTCTTTCCATCTCAATCTTCCCTCTCACCATGTCCTAGCTTTGCCTAAATCATCGTCCACCACCTTAATTAATAGCAACGAAAACAAAAATCCTTATAAAAATTGGTAAATATGCTACATATATAGCTCAAAAAGCTAGCCAAAGAGTTTTTTTTTAGTAGATTGTTAAGCAAAAGATTTACAACCTGCACCCCGTGAAGGATTGAAGAAGTGCTCCAACACTAGAAAGATGACAGATTTTGCAAAGAAAACCCAGGAGAGGGATTACTTTAAAAACCCCAATGAAGTTCTTAAAAAATGTAAATTATGAAACCCAGAAGGATATATATAGAAGAAAACCCCCAAAAACATGTTAGATTAAGTTTCTAAAAATGGAATATAGAGAACCCATAAGTACTAATTACTGAAAAGCCATAGGGGAAAACACCTTAAAAATGAGCAGCAAGGACACAGCGGTGTTGGATTGGAAGGAATCCAAATATGGAAACTAGATCAGAAACCCTAGAATGGTATTCACAGGAAACGCAGAGAAGGATCTTTTTATCTGATTGTGGATGCCCACTCTCTTTATCCTCAGGCCACACAATACTTTTTCCATATTGATCGATAGCACTACTTATATTATTCCTTTGTCCTTCTCTCCTGACTTCCTAGCCAAAAAACAATTCCTTCCCAAAAAGCAAAGTATAACTAATTATAAAGCTCTCAATTATAACAAATAAATAAATGTAAAATAAACAAACATAAGTTAGTCAAGTTAAACATAACAGTATATTTTCGTCTACACCTCTAAGTTAAGGATAAGCGAAAAATTAAATGATCATTAACCTCGTAGCTTCTCTTATTTGGCAAAAATAAAGTAATGTTATGTAGACTAATTTTTTTAGACCACATTTGCAAACTATATGCTGTGTTATATAAAAAATAAATAAATACGTTAATCAACGCTTAAGTAATAATTCAATCTTTAACAAGTAGGTTATTTATTTACAAGATTTAAATAGATAGCCTCTTTAGTATTACCTACAAAACTAAGAAACAAATATGCAAAAGAGGGAGGATGAGCTATATATAAGCAATTAAGTCTTTTATGCAAAGGAATCCCCATTTTTTCAAAAAATGAGGATTAGGTGTGGGACCCATTCCACATCAAACTTCAACTATCCGAACTGTATATTTTGTAAGTCTCGATTCATAGATCATCCTTGCAAAAGTTGAATTCAGTTCGAAACCATTTGCCAATTTAATTATCAAAATAAAATATCATTGTTTCTTATATAACAAAGTATTCGTTAATTTTTTTGAACTAAATTAGATGTCTTAAATATTTCCGATTTGACTAATATTTTGCAAGGATGATCTATGAGGTGCAACTTGAAAAATAGACAGTTCAGATCGTTAAAGTTCATTGTGGTGTAAACCCCACAACTAATTTCCATTCTTATGAAAAAATGGGAATTTCTTCTCTTAAAGGCTTCCTATAAGCAATAGTATTTTGTAAAAGTGCATTGGGAATCAATTGATATATTTTCATAAAATAATACTAGCTACACTAATTTTTTAGATTAAATTTGTAAACTATATGATGTATCACTAATATAAAATAAACACATTAATCAACACTAATTCATAATCTAAGAGAAATGTTAATGAAACTCTCTCAAAAATGGAATCATTATGAACTTTCTGTCACCTCATATTTTTGGCACAATATTTTATAATATTAACACCAAAATTAATATTAAACTACAAGTTAGTCGAGAGTTTATAAATAAAGGAAATTATAGCAATAGTCCATCAACTGAAAATATATAACCAATGGTCCCTTAACTTCTTAAAACATGCAACTATGGTCATTTTCGTCAATTTCATCATAAATTTTGTCAAAATGAGTCATGTTGGAAGAATTATTGTTACATTTGGGTTAAAGTTGAAAAATCATCGTTTCAATTAGGTTAAAGTTGATGGATTATTTCTCTAATTGGGTTAGAGTTGAAGGATTATTTGTACAATTTTTTCATTCAGTTTTCCATATTTGTCTCTTGATTCCAACCTCACGAGCGTGGCACGTGACTCGTTTTGACGAAAGTCTTAACGAAGTTTACAAAAATGACCATAACTACACGTTTTGATAAGTTAAAGAACTAATGATCATAAATTTTCAATTAAAAAACTATTATTCTAATTAAGTTAAAATTTAAAAATTATTACAATAATTTTCTCATATAAAAAATTGAGAAAGTCTCGTTAACATTTCTCATGTAATTCATATGTTGGAGGGAAAACTGTCAACTATCATCGTGCAATGACTTGCGTGATGGCCCAATACACAGCTGCGTCTGCTGTCCAGCAGCCCATCGTCACTTTTTAGAAGATATGACCGTGTCACGTGGCTAGCCTTGAGTGCCGAGTCCAAATTATCTTTATATTTTATCATATTTTCAGAAATAAAATAAAAATGGTTAGGGTTTTAGGCTTTTAGCAGCGGGACGGGGACGTGTTTAGGAGATCCAGAAAGAAACATTGGCCGAAAGCCTGGAATCACAATGAGGTATGTTTTGGATCTAGCAAGGTCTCTGTCACGTCCTTCGATCTCTTAAATAAAGAAGAATACCTAAACCTTAAACATCACATTGAAATAAAATAAAAAATTTATCTATTGAGTAAAATGATGAGCATTACTAATTTAAGTTAATGATTAAAAATATTCCTTTTTTCTTTTTGCTTTTTGTATATGTGCCGGTTAAATAAACCTAAAAACGACATAACATTGTGGTTGGGGTAATATACTAAGTGAGCTTTTACTGGATACATATTGCAATCGAAATCGTTAGTTTTCTTAGAGCAAGCCCAGCGTTGGGTTTGGCTCGGGGGACAGCTCGAAAACAAGGGCCCGAGGGCCGGTGGGAGGGCTCCAGCGTGGGCTAGCCCGACCGAAGGTGGAGGCCCGAGCTCCGGGCCCGTGGGGGATTGCCAGCCCGAGAGCCCGAGGTGGGCGTGACGTCAGGCTGACGCCAGGGTGGCGTCAGCGCAATATTTAATTTTTTTGTGTCAGGCACGTGCACCCCACCCGCGCGTGGGGGCGCGTCGCCGACACAAAAATCAGAAAAAAAAAGAGTCTTTCAGTTACCGTTGGGAAGCCACGTGGCTTCCCACGGTGCGTTAGATCTGAACGGTCAATTAATTTGGACCGTTCGATCTCAACGGTAAAAAAAAAAATTTAAGTCAGATTTAATATCCACCGTTCGATCTGAGATCAACGGTGGATATTAAAATGCTTTATAAATAAAAAAATAAATGAAAAAATAGTTTTAAAAATCTGAAAAGTTACCGTTGTGACACGTGGCACAATCTGGAATGTTGGAATTCAAATTTTTTTATATCCAACGGCAGAGATTAATTAATTGAATAAAAATTTAAAAAAATTGTAAAAAATTCAAAAAAATTCAAAAAAAAATCTGAAAAAAAATTGTAAAAAAAATTGTTTTTACTTTTCTATAAATACCTTCTCATTATCATCTACCTTACACAACAATTTCATATTTTCTCAACTACTTTCAATCACATTCCTTTCTTTGTCTCAAAGTTTGAATCCATTTTTTTTCAACAAAATGACCACTGGTGCTGGTACGAATTGGTCGCTTATTGAAGATGTTGCGTTGTGTACTAGCTGGGTTGAAGTTACTCATAGTTCGCTTACGGGTAATGAGATGCAGTTGCGAGAAATGTGGAGTCTTATTCATACCAATTTTCTTGAGAAAATTGGTGGAAAAAGAACCAAAGAATCGATGTCCAATCGTTGGAAATTACTTAGCCAATCGTTTAGTACGTGGAGAGACGCCTTGGCACAAGCTAGTAGTAATATTTGAAGTGGGGAAAATTACTCGGATCAGGTAACAATATATTATTTATTTGATACCCAAATTTACATTATAATTATTTGTTTGTATTATTTATTTGTTACGTACAAAATTTATTATTTATTGTTTGTATTATTTATTTGTTACGTACAAAATTTATTATTTATTGTTTGTATTATTTATTTGTTACCGTCATAATTTATTATTTATTGTTTGTATTATTTATTTGTTATTTCTTATTTATTATTTGTATTATTTATTTGTTACCTACATAATTTATTATTTATGGCTTGTATTATTTATTTGTTACCGACTTACATTATAATTATGTTGTTTGTATTATTTATTTGTTACTTATTTTCATTATAATTATTTATTTGTATTATTTATTTGTTACTTATTTTTATTGTGTAGGAACTTCAAGCACAAGTTTGGTACGCTGCCAAAACCAAAAGCAAAAATAAATCATTCAACCGGTGGGAATGTTGGAATATTGTCAAAGATTGTCCTAAAATTTAGAGTTGTGCCAGTCAGTCCAGAAGTGCACATGAACAGCACCCCTCTACACTCTACACCCGATCATGTTGATGAAGATGATGCAGAAGAAGTACCCGAAACGCCCCTCCATGAACAAGTGTCGGGTTCGACCCGTTATCCAATTAGGCCTCAAGGTAAGAAGGCTTCAAAGAGAAAAGGGGGTGCTTCCAAGAATGATTATGCAAAGTTCATGGAAGAACTTACTCGCCAAGGTGAATTGACTTTGGCGAGGGAAATGGCGAAAGATGAGGCTGATAAGGCTAGAGAGGCAGCAAAAGCAGCAGCTGTTGAGAGAGAATTTTATGCTAATGAGAGAGAAAGAAAGCTACTTAGGCAAGAAAGGGAACATGTTAGAGAAGAAAGACGGGCTCAACAAGATCGTGAGATTATGAACATGTCTTTAGAAGGGAAGTCTCCAAATTCTAAATTTTTTTGGAAGTCAGAGAAAGCGGACGTGGTGCGAATGAGGCGTGCAAGAATGAGGCGTGCAATGAGTCAGTCCGACTCTCGTTGAATGTTTGACAATGTTAAGCAGTTAAGAAGATCAAATTTTATGTGGAAAATTTGGCCAAAAACTCTGATATATTCCATACGATGAATGCATGAAAATTCATGCAGAATAATTAAAGCTTTGATTTTTCTTGCTCAAAGTCAAAGATGATAAGGAGCTAGTCCATCTGTAGAGACAGAACATGAGGATCAGTCATATTCACAACCCCACCTGGAACTGTGAACAGTCCTTCATACGGGTCGTAGGCTCCTGGCTAGGCATATCAAGTAAGTAAATGATTTAATCCACAACTCTAATATGATGGATTTATCCAACATAAATCAACCTTTATATATATGTAATAAGAATGTATAATTAGAGAATAATATTGATCGTGATTTGATCTCTAGAGATATCAATGGGGTGTTTTATATTAGAAGTAGGATTGTTGGAAACCTTAATTGGATATGATTATGATACTTTAACTTGGAAGCTAAGAAAGTAAGTTTAGGTTTCTT